ATAGAACAATTTATTTGGTTCTTAATGCTTTTGAGGTTTATTCTGATTATCTTGTTGTTTTTGTCTACATTCGGAAATACTGTGTCCGTATCGTCGGCAATAATTACACCATTTTTTGAAGGATGGTTTGCCTTTAAAATTTGGATGTTTTTTATAGACATTTAGTATTTCAGTGATTTTTTCAATTAGGTCTGTATCTGATTCCTGTATGTTATTTATATGTGTAGTGTTTGTTTCAATTCGATTAACATTGTGTAGTTTTAGATTTTCTGTTTCTTTAAGTTTCATTGTGATTTCCACTTGCTCTAGTTTATCTACTAGTTTTCGAAAATCTAAATCTGGCTCTCGAATTGAGGAAGGATGAGATGCTCTCTTTTTTATTGCTATTTTCCTTAATTGAGGTGTTAAGGTCATCATTAAACTTTCTGTCATTTTTGTGTTTTTATAGTCATGTGTATTAAGTGAATAGGCTTTTCGAACTAGTGTTTTGATGCTTACTGCTAATTGTTTGATTGTTTCATTTGGTAATCTGCGAATTTCATTACATAAGACTCTTTGGTGTTGTTTATTTCTTTCGGAGTAAAACATTTTTGAAAATTCTTGTGTAAATCTTTTCCAGTCTGATTTTATTTCTATAGGTAATACTGAAAACCATTTTTGGGCTGCGCCATCTAAGGTTGTTTGTATCAATGCTGTGCGTCTATGTATCCAATTTTGATGTAGTGGCGTATTAATTGGTTCAGGTCCTATATTTAAAATTAAATTGGCTGTCACTGCATTTAAATAATCTTCTACAGAATATTCAGGATCTGTTCCTGTAAATACCATCAGTGGTTTATTGGATGTTATTGATAATCCACCCATGAGGTATGGGTTCATTGTCATCTGTAGTGATTCTGCGGCGTTTGGCATTTGCGAAAAATTTGAAAGTTGATTTTTTGTTATTTCAAGTTGCTGAAGGTAATATGGGAGTGGTATTTCATTTTGCATTTGAGTTGGTTGATAAGAATGCATTGACATTGGATTTTGTGGTTGTATTGGTTGAAAAGATTGTGTGTTAAATGGATTTTGTATATGCATTTGTTGTGGATGTTGTTCATCTGTTGGGTTTTGTGGGTAAATTTTCATATTTCGAGATGGTTGAGGTTGTCGTGGTCTTTGTGTGCGATATTCTTTAGTATATGGTGCAAAAATATCTGGTTGGTGATAATCATCTTCATCGGATGATAAATAGTTTGTATTAAATGGTGTATGTTGGTTATTTTTATTTTGTTGGAAGAAAGGGTAATTTTCAGTATAATCCTGTGTAGGTCGTGGATTATCTGGAAAATTTACTGAATTTGTCGATGTTTTCGGGAGATTCCAATAATGAGAACATACGTGATTTAAATTTTGTGTATTTTTTCGGGGAGGTTGATTTGTTCTTTGTTTGTGAGCATAATCATAGTTATGTTCTGCAAAGGTGTTTCTTGTGAATGATTTTCGTGTTTTTGACGGTACTGTCATTGGTCTATATGTTTGATAATCCATTTGTGAATATTTTGGAGCAACCGAAGGTTTAACGGTTGATTGTAAGGTTACTTGTGCCAGTGAAGTATTTGTATTACTTGGTGTTGTTAAATTTGGGTGTATTGGTGAAACACTTTGTTGTGTAGTTGTTGTTGTTTGGACAGTTTCTTCATTTATGAAGTGTGATGGTGTTTGAATATCTTGTTGGGTAAGATTTCTAGTTCCATTAAGGTTTTCATTGTGTATGACGGTCGAATTTAAATTGTTACTTGGTGTATCAGGTAAAAATGTATTGTAGTTTAATGGTGTTGCATCAATGGTTAGTGGTATTACTTTTACATAATCTCTGTGGTAAGATATTGTACTTATTTCTTGACTGGAGATTGATTGTGGGATATTTATAAATGTAGGATGAGACCATTCAGGGTCCCAAACGTAGTCTGATTGTTCTGTAATGGCAGTGTCATCATTTGAATTTTGAGGTCTGAAATTTTTTCTTGCTTGTGAAATTAAGTCTCAATTATGTGTGAAATAACCTATTATAAACCATGCCAAAATTTTTTGTAAGTCATGTTTAGTGCGTTGTGAAACATCGTCTTTAGTAAATTTTTCTTTGATTATATGTAGAAAAGTTGAAAATAATGTGATTTCATTTCCTACTTTTGTATGTTTGGATGTTTCGGTTGGTGAGATACTTTAAAATTCTGTTTTTTCTAATATAGAGATATAGGTATATATTATTGCAAAAACTTCATTAGTGAATATAGAGTTTGCTCTTTGTGACTTATGATATTGTATGCTTTTGATATATTCTAGGAATACTTTTGAAAATTCTAATTCAAGATCATCTGTTTGAATTACATATTTATGATGATTCGTATTTGGTGTGCTGAATTCTATGGCGTAGATTCCATATTGTTGTGTTAAGTTACATATGTCTTTCGAATAATGTTCAATAATTTGTCTTTTGATTTTTATATCTGGGAATTCTGCTTTGCATGGACTGATTCCGGGTTCAAACAAATTTACGAGTAAGTTCTTGCAAAAATCATGTTGCCCTCTATTATCGGGTGCATCTATGAGGAAGGGGTAAACCTCTTCGTCATCTGGACTATCGTCACTTTGAGTGTGGCTCATTTTTTCGTTTGATGACTGTTAATATATGGCTATCAATGTGTCTAATTGGTTGATTCCAGTTATACAGGTGTATTGGTTTGTGTTTGTATTGCTTTTTTATTCTTCTTTTTCCTCTTTTTGATGAATTTGAAGTTGTTTCTGAATCGGAAAAATATAATTGATCGTGAATGGGACTATTTTTATCAATCGATTCTTTTAATTTGTAGAGTTCATCTAAATTGCTGGCTTCTGATTAAGAAAATCCGTTTCTATTTTTGAAAATCTTTTTCGTGTGATTTGTCTTTGTTTGTTTATAATTTTTCTTTTTATTGTTTGTCGTTTTGTTCTAATGTATCCAACTGTTTGTGTATGAGGTGTGACTACAAGATCGTATTTTTTGTTATCTATCTCACAGTTGTGTAAAACGATTGTTTGCTTATTTCCTAGATTTTTGAATGACATAAGGTTTAGGATGAGGTATGCAAAATTTGTTAGGTATTTCTATTTTCTTAGACTGTTAGTCCTTTACGATTTTTTGGTTAGCTTAACCTGGGTCTTTTTTATTTAGGGTTGGAGAGAAAAGTATATCGATTCCGAAGAATGATTTTTTACTTTCTCGTGGCTAGTCTAAGCTAAGGTGTTAACTTACTTGATCTTACTTAGGGGTAGTGATAGAAAATGAATTAAGATCCAAGGATAAGCCTTGATGATCTGATTTTAAAATTAAGTGAATTTAAGTTTAAAATGGTTTAAATTTATTTAAGAAAAAGATTTAGTATTTTAATGATATTAGTGAGCTTATGAGTGCTGTTATGTTTAGGTGATGAAGCTGGGACAACAGATAATTTATGATTACTAACAATTTATTGTCATGCTACTAATTTTTATTTTCATTTTCAATAAATATTTTTCAAATATGTTTTATATAAGACTGCAGAAATTAAGAAAACGATCTGAGATCTTTTTATCAATCGTTATTGTACATTAATGTTTTTGCTTAGCGCCTGAAATGATCATAAAGATGTACTTCAAAATTTTATGTTTGCAGATGAAAATCTAAATTCATTGCTAATAAGATTCTAAATATAAAAGTTTGTGTTGGTTTTTGCCGTACAATCATAAAACTAAATGGTAAGTTTCTACTTTGTCGTATGTCGTCTCTTGTTCGAGGTCTTCTTCCAATTCCGGGTAGTTCTATTATTGTTCGGAATATCGGCTCTGATCTATTGAGTCGTAGAGACATTTCGATTAAATTATTATCGTATAACATTTTGAAAATGTTTTGTCTAAATTCTAATCTATTTTTGGTTAGTTCTAAGCTATTGAGGTCTTATTCGAGACTTATGGTCGCACCAGATGCGTTATGACCGATGTGGTTAACTCATACAGTAATTTCGGATAGGGTACACCGTCTGCTCGTCACGCTATCTTATTTTCGGCCGGATATATTCGTGCAACTTCTTAGTCTAATACCGATCCTAATCTTACTCTTATACTTTCTAGTCTCAGGGTGTTTAACTAGTCTCTGCTAGGCTCAATAGATCTAGGGTATACTGGTTTGTTGCGGCTGCTGAAGTTCTCTTGGAGAGACAACTAATTTCTAAGTTAAATTCAAATCTCTCTGGTGCTGAAATTACAAGTAATTTCAGCACTTACAAATAAGTAGGTTGTTAGTTAGATGGATTATGATTGGTTAATATTAAATACTTTACAGTGGTAAAATATCCAATTTATCCAATCATAAAATATAGTTTAGATCAGGTTCCAAGACTCGACAAAAAGACTCATTTAGGCTGGCAGCCACCTTAACCGGCCACATTTAGTGAAGTATACTGCCAAACGAGTATACAGCAAAAACAATAGTTTTAGTGTTTCGGCAAATTATGTTGGTCATTAAGACCATTTATCCACGAGGGTACATACGGCAAACCGCTGTTGTGCCCCTGAAAAACAACATGCAATTTTATTTTGGTTAATTTTCTGGGCTGGGTAATGTTGCCACATCCTGAAGCAACGAGCACGGATGTTTGTGGTCCTCGAACATCCGAACTTACGATTGACAGTCTGACACGTTCTCACTTCGCCACCGCTCACCAACATATGTTGATTAGGTTGCCAGTTTGATCAAAAATGATTGTTTTGGTATTTCGGCCATTTTTGTTGGCGATATATGTTGATTATGTTGTCAGACTCAGCAAAGCTGATCGTTTCAGTTTTTCGGCCATTATGTTGGCCTTATTTGTAGGATATGTTGCCAGGCTCAGCAAAAAGCTCATTATTGTTACCATGTTTCTTCTAGCTGTTGAAAGATTTATTTGTCAGAACGTTGTAAGTGTTACACAAATTTAGTTTACTTTAAGAGGAAATTAATGATGTCAAAGTTCACACTCCGATCATTAAGCAAACTGTGTATTTACCTTTCACTGTCAACTCAACTTTCGTTATGATCAATTCACTCGATTTTCATGTGACATAACTTACTCGGACTGCTCTAAATGGAAATTCTAGCTAATGGGTATGTATTGCGGTATGCAGGGGCGGATCCAGGATTTTTTCGTGGGGGGGGGGGCGGGTTTTCAAAAAATTTTTGAAATATTGTTCGACATTTTTTTTAGATCGACCAGTGATTTCCTGAGCTTTCCCAAATGACTATGAAGACCCCATTTTGACAAAATTTTCTGCGCCGCAGGCAATTTTTTGAAAAAGCCCAGAAAAAAAAGCCAAAAAAAAGTGTTTTTAGGCAAAATTTTGGAAAATGTTGACCAAAAAATCGCGTTTTTTCAGCGCGCGCTCCCCCCTCAAAATTAGTATATTTTGGCGCCAAAGTCGCCTTTAGAAAAATGTTAGGGCCAGTCAACCAAAAAGGGAAATCTCAAAATAGTACAAAAGCCCTTCATCCCAGTATTTTTCATTATCGTATTTTGGGTGGTTACTAGAGTCTTACCTTTTTCCCTAGTTATCCCGTTTCCGTTTTTTGTTTAAAAAAATGATAAAATCACCAATTGAAAATAAGTCAGCAGCAGAGTAGCATAGTAAAAATATTCCTCTTCTGGATATTTGAGGCCATTCTTCTCGCAGTTTGAAATTTTTCGAAAATGTAGGACTTTCTATTTTTATATGAAAACCATAAAATAGTTATTTCAATTGGTAATTCTAGCTTGAAAAAAGCTTAAAAAACAAATGGTGAAAATTGAAAACGTTTCTGGTTTCAAAGTTTTTGAGCTTTTTTTGTTAACAGTTTCCATAAATAGCCGTCAAGTTTCGCAAAACAAGTAAAAGAAATTGTTTCTCCTTCAACATCATAGAGATTGGTTTGAATTGTGAATTGTATGACAATGCAAATCTTCTTGCGAACGAGATAATAAAGGGTTGATTTTTTTTCTACGGCAAAACTTGAATTTTTTAACGGGATTATTTATACCATTGACAATTATTGTTGACTTGAGTCAAACTTGAAAAGATTTTTTACCTCTGATTTTTTTTGTAAAATTATGGGGGTTTAAAAATTGGCAATTTGGCCAACTTGGGACAACTAACACGCAATATGTTTTGTGCTATTAACGCTCAAGCAATATGTTTTGTGCTATAAGAAATGTTTCTAATTGAATTGAGGCATGCCTATTTAATGCTCTGCTATATGCAAAACAAGACTGTTGGTATCAAGGCAAAGCCCTGAATGTTCCAACTTTAAACCCTTGTTCTTGAATAGTTTTCAGACCAATTAGCTTATTGCTTTAATTTAATTTGGAACAATTTTGTACTGCGAGTTAATTCACCACATGTAACATATATAAAAAGCAGTTTGGACAGAATCGTGACAGGATACTATATTGGTGCGCACACACGTCGGGGACTATGCATATCATGTGATCTATCCCCTGAGAGAGCAAAGAGCAAAAAACCACTCCGAACATATATATTCCTCTCTTTCTTCGAAAGTTGAAAGTATGAATCACTGTGTATTTCACAAAGTGTGTGGTGGGATGATTTACAAAAAAATCAATTGCATCATTTTTTAAAACCAACACTATTCCATATACTTAAAAAATAAGTCGGAACATTCAGGGCTTTGCCTTGATACAAACAATTCTGTTTAGATTTTGTAATGAGATAAACTCTTTCATAAAACTAACTTTTTTTTGAATTAAGATAGAATAAAACAAAGTATAAAATTTTTTAATAAAAAAATTTGTAGATTGATATGATAGATTTTACAAATTGTTTTTAAGTGTAAGAATATAGTCAAAAGCAAATTAGACTATCCGAAAAAAAAACCGGAAACTGTTTCAAATCAGGTTAATAATTGCCACAGTTGTATAATTTATACAATTGAAAAATGATTATGATTTTACTGTAAATTTTTGGGATAAAATTACACATCGGCTCTGTGATAAAAAGCTCTTTGTGTTTTTGTAACTCAATCGAAACAAGAAATTTAAATGGGCCGGTTCCTTTTCACCAAAATGTCAGTCGATTATATGCATTTATGATTAACAAAGTCTTAAAAATTTCCAATAATGGAAGTCGATTTTGATATAAAATTTCTTTTTTGCTGTTCTATTTCTCAATCGTTAAGAATCTTGTACATTAAAAAGCATTAAGGCTATTCGCTTCTTTTCTCACTCAAGATCAGTTTTTTAAAAGGTGAATTGTTTTTTTATATACTTGACTAATTTAATGTTACTCCATTTTTTACCAAGTCCAATTAAAATATTTGAAGATGAAAAATGTTTTCTGTTTCAATAGCAGAAAACAACGCGTCCTTATAGAAAAGTGAAGCGGAGATGCCTAAACTTCATGAGGCTAGAAGTTTCTTTTCGAAATCAAAAAAATATATTTTTTTCAAATTTGCAAAACAAAAAACAATTAGCAAATAAAAGGTTTTGTGAAAATAATCGATTTTCATGCTTTTGAGAACAAAAAAAATCGATCATTTGTTAAAAAATTGAATTATAATAGATTATACTGGGTTTATAATTTTTTTTGCAAAAACACCTGCTTGCATTGAAAAATACAATCCGTTACACTGCCTACCTTTCACAAAGTTCAATTATCTAGACAATATATTTGTCTAGGAAAGTCCAGTATAATCTATGTTTTTCCAACCCCCCTTCAGTGACTTGACCCGCTGTCTACTCAAAGGGTCCTCCCTTTGGTATCATTTCAAGACCTCAATTTTTGGCTGACTGATCATAGAACCTTTCTAAAGGCGCCTTTGGCGCCAATATACGCAACTTATAAGGGAAATGGCGCACAGAAAAAACGCAATTTTGGTTCAAAATTGTCGAAAAAAGCCTGAAATCGCCCTTTTGGCCTGTTTTTGCACAAAATCACTTGCAGCGCGAAAAGATTTGACCAACACAGGCTTCTTTTTGTGCTTTGGGAGTGCTCAGAAAATCAATTTGGTTGATAAAAAGTTCCATCCTGGTTGACCTGCTGTATGGCAACTGTGTTTATTGCAACCTGCTGTCAACCAGTAGACCGATTTTTTTGTCAACAGTATTGATTTTCTGAGCTCTCCCAGAGTACTAAGTTTGGGGTTTTTAAGCAGAGTTACAAAACAGCAGGTTGCAATACAGCAGTTTGCAATGCTTAAATATGGGCTTTTAAGTGTAGGAACGTTCCCGCACCGAGCTCCCATGGATCATAATCGATTATTCTGTCATAATATCGTTAGAATCTATAAAATGACAAAATAATCGATTATAATCCATTAAAATTTGATTACAATCCTTTTATTTCTTTTGCCAATATAATCCATTATAATCGATTATAATCCATTAAAAATGGATTATAATCCTAACAATTTTTATGCCAATAAAATCCAATATTATTGATTTTAATCGATTATGATGGATGTTTTTCGAGGGGTCATTCGTATAATTTACAATTCTGTTAAAAGTTATCTCATTTTCTGTTTAGTGCAGCTGCTACGTATTACGTGTCATAAAATTTTACATTTCAGAATAAAATATATATTTTTTGTCTCTATTTTTTTTTTCAATTCATCGCAGTTTAACACTTAATTTTACTGTTGTTTTACCACAGCCCCCCCCCCCTCCCCAGTTTACTCCCCTCTTTAGTTTATCCCCCCCCCCCCTCCACCAGTTTTCCCTCCCCCAGTCCCCCCCCCCCCAACCGGTTTAACTCCTCCCCCAGTTTTTACCCCCCCCCCCCCCCAGTTTACATCCCCCAGCTGCGAGGGGATGACGTTGAGACATGGCATTTAGTAAAAGACATGGCATACATTCTGCAAATTTCTCGCAAAGTTTGCAAAGTTTTGCAAAAAAAAACAATCTAATTTAGTTCTGAAAAAGAAATGGGTTATGATCGATTATAATGGATTATAATGGATTTTTATTTCAAAAATAATCGATTTTAATGAAGTATCTTGGCAAAAATAATCGATTTCAGTGACAAAAATAATGGATTATAATCGATTTTAATGAATTATAATGGATTATTTTTTCAAAAATAATCGATTATAATGGCGATATAATCGTTTTCGTGATCTGAATTTATATCTGTTATGGATTATAATAGATAATTTTTGTCTCGGAAATCCATTGTAATCGATTAAAATCCATGGGCGCTCAGTGCGGGTTCGATTTCTTAACTGTAATGAGTTCGAAAAATTCAAGGTAACTCCTAAAAAGATTAAATTCCAATATTAATTTAAGTATATTTTCATTTCCTTTAATTAATTATTAGCAACATAATTTTAGAATAAACGATTAAAATCTAGTGTAATTGACTTAAGCTGATTGGAACCGAGTTGAAAGGAACGGAATTGGAACCGAGTTTTGTTGAAAACAATCAATTTTATTCGATTTAAGTCAATTATTTACAGGCGTTATAATACATTTCTAAATATATATGATATTTTTTTCATTGATATCATAAAGTCTGATAGAAACACTTTACTATAATTAATTACTTACGTCTACAGATACCTACTTGCGGGTACAGGTATATATTTTTTGTTTATATCAGAGGGACAGCGCAGTCGGTGCTGTTTTGTTTGATGGGCGTGTTGTCGATTGTGGGATGTCTGCTCTATCTCTACTGCTACTTCGTACTCCACCCAACCCCCAACAGAAGTCTCGCCCGCAACATGATTGCTCTCATCGCCGCCACCGAAGCCATCTCCATATTCGGTACACTCTCTTCATAACATAAAACCTATTGTTCACATGGTACAAGATCCGATTGGCAGAAACTTTCCGTCCAGTTACGGCTTTATTTCCAAAACTTAGACTGAAACTCTTTCGGTCCTTTTGCAATGACTGTTTTTTCAATGTTGAAGTCACGCTTACTCAAACACTTTTAAATGATTATACAGATTGTCGAAATCGTTTAGAAAAATAAGGTCTTCAGCAAAAAATAATAATGCAGGAGCATTTCAACTTCAAAAAAGCAAACCAAAATTTTGGAGCGCCAACTAAATCATGCTTAAATTACTAGATCTATTTATCACAAAATTCCGTTGTTGGTTTGCGGTCAAATTGTATTGTGTTTTATAGGAAACGTAGTGGGTATAATCTACATGAATGTGGGTTCTCCCTATAAGTATTCGGATTACGCCTTTCCAGAAGAGTACCCCGAGACATGCAGAGCGAATGAGACACCGCCACCTAGCGACCAGTTCTGCCAAATTCAGGCATTCGTCACCAACTTCTTCTCAATCTCCAGTTTCATTTACAACTCTGGCCTGGCCATTATGATGTTGCACATAACAGTCACGAACAAGGCCGACCGCAGAGTGTTCTGGGCTGTCAACACGGCCGCTTGGCTCATTCCAGCAGTTGTCAGTTAGTTTTCAAAACCCCTTTTCTTTTTAATTGGAACAATACTTTAATCAGAAACCATTCAAAAATAGTATGCGTTTTATATATATATACTTTAAAATATATTTTATAAATCTTTTGCGAAACTCAGAAAACAACGTTCTAAATTATTTAATTATCTTCTATTAGTGGTCTTACTGCAATTAACTTGTTGGTCTAATTACAATTTCCAACCAAAAATCAGTTGCAATAAGGAATTCATGTACGGATATACAAGTCAAACCTTCCTCATTACCCCTTCTAAAATTTCCAAACTAGATAGTTATGTATATATTTTAACCAGACTGCTCATATCAGTGCGAAGCCCCGAATGTTCCGACTACCTTTTAAAGTTTATGGAGAAGCAGTAACATAAAAAATTAAATGTAATAAAACAAAATGAAAAAAAGTTTTTCTAAAGATTGAAGTTTTTTTTTCTAAAATCATCCCCCCACACGCTACATAAATTTTAAAACAAAACTGCTCGTATCAGGGCAAAGCCCTGAATGTTCCGCCTGTCTTTTAAAGTCTTTAAATTTGTATGTAATAAAATAAAATTATTATTATTTTTTTTAAATTTGAGATTTATTTGTAAAAACATCCCCCACACGCCATTTTAAGTACAAAGTGATTAACATATCAATTGTGGCATATAACCTTCCTTGAACTAATTTGGAACGATTTCTAGGACGGATTGAATCTCGCTTACGCGTTAATAGAGCGAAATATATCGCGCGTTAATTGTCCCAAATTGGCAAAAATGACAATCTTTAAACCCCCGTAAAACTACGAAAAAAGATCACAGGTAAAATATTTTTTATAATTTGAGCTCAAGACAACAATACCTTTTGAATGATATAAAAATTTCTGTCAAAAAGGGCTAGTTAAAAAGTCGAAAGTTGTCAGAAAAAAAACCCACCCCCGAGCACAAATATTCCGTTATTTTTGTATCTAAAGTCGGAACAACAAGATTGCTCGTATCAGGGCAAAGCCCTGAATGTTTTGACTGCCTTTTAGGGTTTATGGAATAGTAATAACATAAAAAAACTTCAATGTAGAAAAAAAAAGAAAAATTTTTTTTCCAAATTTTTTGATTTTTTTTTGTGAAACTCATCCGCCACACGCCATATAAAGTAAAAAAGAATATATTTCGCTATTTGTAGTAAACTAATTTGGGCAAAAAAGCTTCATTCAACCAACTCGGAACAATTTCTAGGACGGATTAAATCTCCGCTTACGCGTTATTAGCGCGAAATATATCGCGCGTTAATTGTCCCAAATTGGCCTAAATGGCAATCTTTACAGCTTCACGAAAACTTTACAAAAAAAGATCACAGATGAAAACTCTTTTCAAATTTAAGCTCAAAACAACAATACCTTTTGAATGATTTTTTAAAATTCCCTCAAAAATGACTAGTTAAAAAGTCGAAATTTGTCTGAAGAAAAAAACCCACCCCGAGCACAAATATTCCGTTATTTTCATTAGGAAAGTCGAAACAAAAATTTATCAAAGCGATCGGCAGCCGTTGCTCAAAAAAAAACGTTCAAAGAACTAATTCTGTTCTTAAACTACAGGTTGTTAAAAGCAGAACTACGTCGCCAACTAAAAAAAAACATTTCAAAAGGGAATGTTTCTTCCAAATTTTAATCCTATCAAAATTTTGAAAAACAGTAATTTAATCAAAGTTTGTTTTCTGATTGAAAACACACTTGGAGCCTACAACCAAAATAAAATTGCTCAAAAAACCTGGTAACATGCAAAAAATGTAGTAACTTTCCACATCACGAAAGTTGTCAATAGAACAACATGCTAACCATTCCCGATTTTTCTTGCAGTACAAATCAGTATAGCTTCAGAAAGTTTCCGTAAAGTTCCAGTACTGCAAAAGAAGATGTAGAGTGCCACTTTGCATATGCTATGAAATGAAATTAGCGACAAACTACGCAGCATTATGACAGGGGAAAAAATCGAATTGTGCTATTTTTACAAAATATCAGAAGTAAATTTTACTTAACAAATTGAAAAAAAAACAGACCTACCCAATTTTCAATTTGCCCCCTGACGTTCCAACCCACTCTGTCCATTAGTTTTTTTTTCTAGCTACAACCATTTAAAACCCAGCTTGATGTGTAGAATATGCTTTTATCAAGAATCTCAGAAAAATGTATGATCACTTCACAGGGTAAACTTGAAAGTTAATGGCAAAATCTAGATTTTTACAAAAAAAAATTCTAGCAGTTTAATCCGATGCTGCCAGATTTTTTTCTGCACACGTGTTTATTTCGGCCTTGAGTAGTCAACAATTCTGAAAATGTTTTCAAACTACAACTTCCATAAATGTGTAGGATTTTTCTTTCGGAAGACGTGTTTGAAATTTGAGTGGAGTTTTTTAAATTGATAGATGCCATGCGTTTGTTAATTCGCTAGTGAATTTGCTTAAATAAGTTTTGAAAGATTTTTTTTCATTAGCGACGGTTAAATCGCCAACGAAATCGAAAGTGCCTTTCTTAGATCAATGCTATGAATATTCAAGAAAAACTTCTTTTCTCCGACTTTTGTAGAAAGTGAGGAATATATATGCCCAGGGGTAATTTTTGTTCTTCAGACCAAATTTGTAAAATTTGACTGCGTATGGGAATTGATTCGGATATCTTGGAACTGCCAAGCGAGATGCTTTCACTAGACTAAAGTGAGGCTCGAAATAATACTTTTATACGCAAATTATCCGCACTCATAATATTGTTCATAGTTGACTTTAGGCTTGCTAATTGGTCTCATTAATTCCATAAACAACTCAAATTTTAACCTTTGATCACCCGAAATTTTGCAGTTTGTCATTATTTCAGATATCAAAAACTATTCGACGCCAAATAAAGGCAGTCGGAATATTCAGGGCTTTGCCTTGATACCAGCAGTCTCATTCTGATTTTATTCTGCAAAAAGTAATTGGCCGTCAATTTCTATGTTTTTGATAAGAAATTATTTTTCTCAAAAAATTAAGAAAAAAATGGGCCCAAGTGAATGACTAAAAAGTTTAATAAAAACGCAACATGAGTAAGTTTTTGTTCATACTTATTTCTAAGTTGACAAAGACGGAATCACTTGCCTAACCGTATAAACTCATAAATATCAAATTGAAATAACGAAAAGTTCAGTTGCTGTTGAAAATAAAGAGGTAAGAGCTTTTAAAGACTTATATAGCAAACTCTTGATGCTATCCTCCATTAATCCTCCACACAAATAATCAACGGAATGGAGGTAATGGTATATCATATTAAAACCCTTTCAATCTTAATTCGAACGAAATTTTAAAAATGTCAGAAAAATTTCCCAGTGGCGACTCGGGATTTAAAAAGCGACTCTTCACACCACGCGACGACTCGTAGCAGGCAACAATTAGTAGTGGTAGAGGTTTTGATCAGATCAAAATAAATTAGATGAAAAAGCTAAACCAAAGAACAAACAAACTCAAAATCGAAATTAAATGAGATGGCCTCAAGTTGGTTGAGTAAACTATTGTTACTATAAGGTTTTGGGAGTTCAATTACTCTGGCTAGATTTTTTTAGTTTTTGCCACCTTGGCGGTACTTACTCCGGCAATTATTCTTGCCAATTTGTTCACCGTCAGACTTTGTTATTTTTTCAGGAATTTGTGAATGGTGGGGTGAGCATATCCTATCCCCATCTGGTAGGCCCTATGCCATCAGTCGACCAAATTGTTGGTTTTCTGTCTTCCATTTTTGCATTTTCGGTCTGGTTCCAGAGTTATAACAGGCCAAGAAAAATTACTCCCAGTCTTCAAAAAAAGCCTGTTTAAAAGGTTTTATTTTTTCCACTAGGTGTGGTCAGTTCCCCCTCCCCCACAGAAACTCACACCTTGCAGTTATGCTAATTTAACGTTTTAAAAAAATCAAAAATAGAAAGTTTTCACTTTTGTAAGTTGAAGTTCGTGCACGTTCCTGCATGTTCGTGCACGTCTCTTTATACATCGGCAGCTGGACTTATCATTTATTTTGTTGTTTTGTTGTGGCGGTTTAGATTGAAAGTTTCATCGCGGATAATTTGCTATTTTTTTCACTCGATCATGACAAAATTCAAGGGGAGGGCATATTGATATCAGTATGTGTAATGATTTGCAAGAAGAGAACGAAACGAATGAACTAAAACAAAGGTGTTTTAGTTGCTTTTAACGTTTAATTACGCTTGTATTTGTTGTTAATTCATTTCATTTTGGTATTCAATTCAAAACTGGTGCTAAATTGAAAATTTTGATCGCTCCTTGGATTTTAATCTCTCTGCAACCACCGCAAAATGGTTTCTTCAATTCGCATCGTTATTTAATCCCCAATTAGCACTTAATCGTGCTGCTAATTGCCGCTCGCTATGAATTGGCGCTTGGTGCGAATTTTCACTTTTTAAGAATGCTGCGAAGAAAGTTTTTTTAAGAATATGGTCAGAACTTTTTGTGATACTTACACAGTAACCCGCTATCCTTGTGGATCCGACTGTCGAAAACTGGGAGGAACTTTGTATTCCGTGTGTTTTGGTTTCTTTTGTTTTTTTTTCAATTTTTTGTTTTTCACGCAAAATTAGCTGCCAACAATCGGACAGAGTTGAGCGATATCTCATTTTAAAAACGTTTCTGCCGAGATTCCAACAATCTTTAAAAAATCTGAAAATGTTTTTACCGTGTCGAGAAAAATCGGTTTGAATGTTTTGATTTTTGGTCTAATTACCCTCTAATTAGTAAGGTAGTTAGTAATTGCAATAGCTTATTTAAGCTTAATTTAGGTCGTGAAAACTCAGTTTTACTCAATTAATGATAGTTTTTTAGCGTAATTTTGGGAATCAAAATTTTGAAAATTCAATACATAGCCAAAACAAATTGAAAATTTTTTTGAATTTTTTTTTTCGTTTTTCTTGTCATTATTTTTCCAAAACCGTTTTCCAATCGACCTATTTTACTATGAATCTCAAACATGCCTAAGTTCTTATTCAGGTTTTCTTATCACAACATGCAGAAAAAAAACGACACCAATTTGAGAAAATATTTCTGATTTTTTTAAGAGTGTGGTCGGAACATTCTGTGCTACATGCAAAGTAACCGGCTATCCGGCTATCTTTATTATTAACTGTAATTGTTCGTTGGAATGTTAAAATATTTAGTATGATCTGTCTTTTGCAGCAGTGAGTGTGGCCTGCAAGGGTTTGTATGGCTTCTCCATCTGCACTACAGGGGGCTGGTGTTGGCTCAAACAGATAGACGACTTTAATCACACCAAGAGGGCAGAGGAGGCAATCTGGCAGTCATTTGCAGGTCCTTGATCACTTCACACCCACAATCTGCAACTATTTATCTATACTACTGCAACTATTTATCTATATTAATAATTTATACTTTTTTTGCAATACAAAATGCTGCGCACCTAATATAATAACTTGCAAGATTCCTATGCAAGAAGAATTAAAGTCTTGCATCAATCTTGTGACTGTAATGCAAAATATTACAAACTCTTGCAAGATAAAAACGAAAATATTGTATTCTAATCAAGATTTCTGGTAGAATCTTGAAAGGTTTTTGTTCCATGATTTTTGCTCTAATAATTGATGCACCCATATTGCATCGGTTGTCGCAATTCAGAGAAAGTCAATTGCCCCATTCTGCGGAGCTCAGCGATTGCCTCGTGTTTTTGATCGTGATATACTTCGCAAAGAAGATAAGCAAACAATTTTTAAGGCAGCAAAATGCATCAAACTTTATACATAGTTCTTGAAAATCTTCTTATTTCATAATTATTTCATCCGTGGAGTTCAGGTAATTTTGATAACTTCGTAGGAAAATTCTGGGAAATTTCCACTGAAATCATTCTGATTGCGTCATACATTGGCGTGAAGTTGGCGCTGATGTACAAGCAGAGACAGTTGCGTAGGCGTGGCTTCAGCCAGGAAGTCGTTCACACTCTTCAAGCGGTGGAGTCTCTCTACCTCAGACTGCTCCTGATCCCTGTCTCATTCTTCTTCTGCTACATATTTGGAACCATCCGAAGTTATGTGCTACTATACAATCCCAACAGTAAGTGTATAAAATGATTCAGAAACAAAAACTAAACTATAACAGAACCCTACATCCTTAAACAATCGCTACCCCCCTCCCTCCCTCTCCACCTCTTGTTTGACCTCACCCCACCTGCATAAAATAAGTCTTTTCTTGACACCACCCTCGAAGAGCAGTGAAGACGTATTGAAAAAATTAAGGACTCCTCTCAGTCGAAAGGGGCATATTAATTGCCACTGTGATCAGAGCTCATTCTTGAATGTGAACTAACCAACACTGCTTAGCCCAGAGAGCAGCCATTGCGGTCACCAGAGAAAATATTCCAAAAGAAAGTATCCTACATTCCAAAAATTCCACACCGATATGTTTCAATAAATACAAAAGCCCTTGCATTTAGTTCTTTATCAATGGCCCTCTTTACATCTAAAAAGCTAAAAAGTAGCTAAAAAGTACTAGAACTAAAAAACTCGAAAGTCGATCTTATTTGGTGAATATAAATGGTCTTAGTAAGCAAATAGATATCCGTTTTTTTATTATTATTTTAGTTGACTGGCCTACAACAGTCCTCAACTGTCTTGCTTTCCTTCATGTAAGTGAAATATTTCTCTGTTTGCCCAAATTTCGTTTCAAAATGAATTTTCAACAAAAAAAACATTTCTTCTCGCGTTTGCTAAAGTTTCCTTTGAGCTAAAACTGTCTTTCGCATTGTCTTACTGTCGGCAGCAGCAAATCTGGGATAATTGAGCTTCTGGAAAAGATTTAATGATAGGTAAACTTTGTTATAGGGACATTAAAACAGTTATTTCTAAAATTTGGAAGTTATCTGCCAAAGGTCATAATTATAAGTATAGGTCGGTAACCTTTAAAATCAGGTGTTAGAAAAATTATTGCACCACTGCTTCCTTCACTGCTTCCTGCCCAAGTAGTGCATGAGCTGTGCTAATCAGTCTAAGCCAAAGAGCTCGGTCTAAGCCAGAGACCTTTTAAGTTATCCCTGTGGGTTATCTAGGATGACCATGGGCCAATGAGTGGGATTGAATAGGAGTGGTGCCCCTAGAGGATCCAAGCTGGTCACGTAAGGTGGGATGTCGTATGCACTAAACGCTCCCTTTAAGTGACCAGGTAGCAAGAATGTCCAGCTCAATCTCGGCATGGCTAGGATAGCTACGGTACGCGCACGGTGTGCGCACGGTACGCGCACGGGTCCACTGAGATAAATACTGCACCACTAATTTATCATAGCAATTAGTCTGAAGAATTGAAAAACTTGAAAAACGAAAACTACTGCCGTAATTTAGGGGCAGATCTAGGTGCGGATTTACGGGGCTGCTGGATGCTTTTTTTCAGGGGTTCGAGCCCCTCTCCAACCAAAATGCGGCTTTTTCAACCTGTTTTTTTACTCGAAAGTTTGCCTTGGGCGCATTTTTGTCTTAAATAGGATCTTTATAGTGTTCTGATAAAATCAATTTGGTCAATCTCAGATCCGCCCCTGGTTAGATCCAACTTTTTCATGAACAAATGAGCTGATGGCGCATACTTTGACAAATAAAAATATCGAAACATAGTCGTCTTTTTACAGTTCGAACAATTGGTGTATTGGTGTACAGTTGTCATATAGGTAGGCTCGATGTTATTATTGAGTCCGAACGATTTGGTAAACAATACTAACATGTCATTGGCTTCACACTGCCACCGTCATCAAGGCCAATTGACCAATCTTAATACAGTAAGCGTCTCAATGCAGTGAGCTTACTGTTAACAATTATATGTATATATGTATATAATACTTTGGCAAACCGGCCGGATGACATTCCCCCTTTTTCAAAATACTAAGTAATAAACGTAAACAAATGGAATTTTAGGTCCCTTTATGACCGGAGTGTGTTTGTACGTCCCCTAAGTTTTCGAGTTTTCGAGTTGTTTTTTAACTTCCTTCTACTCTTTGTGTACTGGCACCGATTCTTGTTCGTCTTTACTTTTCTCTTGAATTTCTTCTAAGTTGTCTTTTCTTTCTTTCTCCATATTCTAAACATTTGCAACTGATAGGACCTCAATGTCCTTGGATTTTGTGGGGTTTTTGGCCGGGAATACCAGATCAACGACTTCTGTTGTGTCCTGCTTCTCTTTTGGGCGTATTGCGTCTAGAAATTTCACGCATGCTTGGTATTCGGGTGACTTCTCGTGGAAGCCCATTTCCGAAATCAAAATGTTCAAACTTGACTTTACTGGCGTAGAGATTTTTTGGTTATGGCAGCCTACTGTTCTGTCCGTTGGTGATTCAAATGAGAATTTTTTGTATGGTGATTGCACCGTTTTTTTTACTAGTGTTGATGCGATTGGATTCGCCAGAGCGTTTGCTAAAGTTGCTTGTCTTGTCCGGCCTGATTTTCTAGTTGGTTGCTTTGCCTTTCTTCTCTCTGGTGTTCATTTTTTATTGACTCGTTTCGGCAATGGCACTATGTTTTCCGAGGTGGATGATCCGTAATCGTTAGAAGATATTGACGTATTACTTTCTTACGTTTTTTATCCATTTGGAACTCCATTCCTCTCGGTGTTATTGGTGCCGTTCTTCCCCCAGTTCGTTTCCTCGTCGCTTTTCGTTTCGTCGGCTCGCTTGTTGCTCCTTGCGGGTTAGTTTTACTGGTAGTCCTGACGCATCCTCCTTGAACATAGGATGTGGTGGTGCACTCGGGTTAGGTCTAAGAAACGCAAATAAGGTCCAACTCTCCGAGCGGATTTATATGCCACATAATCACTGAGTGTCGATGGACGAGATGGACCATTTATCTGAGGGTGTGGTACGACTGCAAAATCACTATTTCTTAGTATCGCGGTTGTTTTCCTTTCGTTTGAACCCACGCGTTGTATGGTATGCAAGTAAGTATTCTGCCGTCTATTGCTTTGTACTTTTGCTTTTGTTCAAATATTTTTGGGTCTTTGACTTCGGTAGCTATTTCAATTGTTTTCCGTGCTACTTGTTCGATTTTCTTTTTTATGTTAGTGTCAGTTTGTTGGTGTACCCCTTCATATCTTAGATTTAAATTTTCTTTTTCTGAAGCTAAAGTTTTTCTAGCTTTCACACCTGAGCTGGTTTGTGGACAATTGCCCGCTGCCTCTGAACCCTTATTGTTGATTGGTTCTGGTATCCTGTGTTTTATACTGACTTCGTCCTCGGACCACTTCTGCAAGTCGTGCATGATCTCCGCCGGGATTGGCGGATGGATTAGGTTTTTCCAGTCTAAACAAGCGTGTTTGGCGTTTTCCCAATTTAAATTGTTAGGAGAGCTAATTGTTGCTATATTTGTTAAAGTTGTGTTTGCTTTTTGGCCCAAATGCGCTTCGAACGGTGTAATTTTTAATACTCCGTGTAGAGTAGTTCGTAATTTTTTTAATGATTTCTGCAAAGCACGATGCAATTTTGAACGGGGAATTGTTTGGATCAATTTTCATTACCCCGAATCGTTTTTTGAGTGTTTGTATTAGTCGTTCCACAACGCCTATTGATCTATGATCATCCACCGGAGCGAACAAGAGTTTTATGTTGTTGGATTTGCGAAATATTTGAAATTTTCTAGCACGAAACGTTTGTGCCTGATCACATCTTACTCTGCGCGGAACCCCATTATTTGAAATGTACCGTTGCATACATTATAGTGTATCTGCCATTGTGTTAGATACTACCTTAGCTGTTGGGTTGTTTCACCACATATCCACCGCGACTATTATATATGCATCTTGGCTTAGTTAGTCTGGAATTGGTCCCGCGAAATCTAGTAGGACCTCTTCTTTAGGTTCAACTACCGGTTCCATTTGGAATGTATGTTGTTTCCCAACTATTGATTTTAAGTTTTTACCTTGTTGGGTACATTGTCGACATCCTTGGGCCATCTGCACTATAGATCTATGTATATGCGGGAACCAGATGTTTTGACAACGTTCCAGCATGGCCGCCGACCCAGGATGAGTGAGGTGCAAACTGTCCAGTACTGTTTGTCTTAGCTGTGTGGGTAGGACTATTCTTTCATCGATGAGGAGACAGTCGTCCTTTACATGCAATTGGTTCCTGATGTTGTACCAATACTGGCCAAACGACATCTTCAGCGCTTCCCAGTCCCGTTTTGTTACAAAGTTGACTAAAGAGCTCAGGTTTTTGCCTTTCCGGGTTGCCGCGGCAATGAAGCTGACTCTTAGCACTTTTTGCAGATTTTTCCTCTATAAGGGCGTGTTCTCCTCCGCCTCAGTATTTATTTGTTTGTCGATCGTTGCTACGATTTCTTCAACTATGATTTCATGGCTGGCCTCCAGTTGTAACCCTGTCATGGTAGATGGTTCTATGTTGGGATGCATTTCTTCCTGTCTTATTATGTCAGGATTCACGCGGCTGACAGAGTATTCATAGGTCTCGCCAGTTTCTATGGAGATATCTGTCTGCGTGGTGGCACTTTTTCCTCGTGGATCCGTTTGGGTTGATGTTGTCGATGTTACTTTCATTTTTGGTTCTGTTTTCTCACTAGAATTTTCTGTTGGTTCCGAAAAAATGATTTTCGGGAAGACTGATGTTTTTCGCTTTATTTTGTCTCTTGCGTCCTTGACGGTGGTTGGTTTTTGTTTCGTGTACACTGTTTTCTTGTTTGGTGGTCTTTTGTGCCAGCTGGGGTCAGACAGACTTTCCTCTCGATCTGATTCTCCCTGCCATTTCTCTGCGTTTGTTGATTCTCCTGTTTGCTCTTTTGGAATGAAACTTCTCTTGAAATCAATCATGCTTTGTCTTCAAATTTCTCTTTGCACTGGTTTTTTGGAGCTGTGTGTGTATCGTGACGAATTTGAGTTGTTTGTTTTTATTTTAAACTGATTTGCAGATTGAGATATGAGCGAATGATTAGAATCGGAGTTTGGATCAGGTTTGAGTGTTTGACTGCTTATGAAATGAATGAAATCTTTGGAATGCAATTGGCTTTTAGATTGCCCTTTTGTTTTTCTTTCAATTTTTGCGCGTTTTTTGATCAGCCGATAGGGCGCTAGTTTCCTATTGGCTAACTCGTCTAGAATTAAGTTGTCAATCATTTCACGATTGTTAACAAATGAGTTGATTGACGCCACGATAAATTCCTCATCGTACTCACTAGAGGTATTGCTCTTCCAACCGGATTTCTAGCTATATAGTCAATTAATCCTATTTTATTCCCTGCTAAGTGTTTGATGTCAAAGTTATAGGGGATTAACCGGTCTACCCATCTTGTGAGTCTACTTTGACTTGTCTTGGGTCGTTCGCTAGCGTTTAATGCATTGATCAAAGCTTGGTGATGGGTAATGACCGGGAAATTTTTCCCGTATAAGTAGTATTTAAAGTGTTCTATAGCCCAAACGATCCCGAAGAGCTCCAACTCATTTACTGAGTATTTTCTTCTAACGAATTTAGGAACCTTGACGCGTATGCTTTAGCTCCCTATAGAACACTTCAAATACTACCCTTCTTTTGTGTTTTGTTCTAGTGCTGCACCTAAGCCGTTTGTAGAGGCATCACATACTACACGTGTTTCAAAGTTTTGGCCAAAATGTTTATTGTAAGTAATTTCTGCGATTAATTGTTTGATTTACTGGAAGGCGGATTCATGATCAGCAGACCAGTATAGTGATTTGTGTTTTTCTGTATTTCTAAGTAGTGGTCGTAATGCCGCTGCAGCTTTTGCTAGATGTGGGATAAATTTTGTAAGATGATGTAATGAACCCATGAATTTTTTCAGCTGTTTGTATGTTTTAGGTGGAGAGAGCTTTTCGATGGCGTTTGTTTTCCTTGTTAGTGGTGTAGTGCCCTCGCTGTCGATATGGAACCCATGCTATTCAATTTTTTTTTGTATTCGAACTTGCATTTATCCAATGATATCGCAAGATTTTCCTCGTCTAATCTTCGTAGCACTATTTCTAGCGTAATTTTATGTGCCTCTATTGGACCTTCTGTAATGATCAATATATCATCTAGAATTGCGTATGTATTTTTGCAATTTGTTAACGTCAGATCGTCGCTTTTTGAAATTCGGCCGGTGTATCTGTAAGGCCGTAGAATCCTGTTTGAAATTGATATGTCCCCGTGGCGCTGCCTCCGATGAGGCTAAAGTTGCATTGTCCTCTCGTCTTTTTATCCAGTGGGATTTGTCAATACGCATAGCGTAGATCAAGTGATGTGAAGAAAATTTGTTCGTTTTTGTTGGAGTTTATCGTTTGTGCGATGTTGTCTAATAAAAAGTCGATATTTGGCATCTGGTATTTGTTTGTGTGAAAAAACCTAATAATTTGCTTTCAGTCTAGCGCCAGTTTTACTGTTTGGTTTTTTTTCACTATTATTACAATCGGGCTGATGAATTGTTTGTCTGATAATTTTTCTAGCTTCATAATTTGTTTCTGATCAATTTTTGACGTCGTTTTCGACCTTTTCTTGCAGGTGAATCGGGACGCGTCGACCATTCTGCTGGATCGGAGTGACGTCCGGGATTAATTGTGTCTCTAAAAGGTGGTTTTTTGTTTTTAATAATGTACTCTTAATTGGGCGAAATTGTCTTTGACCCATTGTTTTATCTCTGGATTTGATTTATTCTCTTCTTTAGTGTTCAAAATTTGATGGTATTGTGGTTTTTCTTGAACTAGTTTCCGTCCGATTTTTGGTAGTAAGTTTTGGCCAAGAATAATCGTTTTTTGGTCGTCCACCACAATAAATGGGGCTGATTGGATTGCTCACCCCGCTGGATTCTTTTGCCAAAATCAACCGTCCTTGAGTAACGATTACTTTTACGTTATAACAAGCTAGATGCCGCGCCGTATCTTTTGGCGGAATATCTTTAAAAACAATTGACAATTGATTTGTCGTTTTATTGTAGTCGCCGCGCTGTTGCTTTATTTACAAATGACATTGAAATGCCAGAGTCCGCAATGGCAAGTATATTGGTTGTTTTTGTTTTTAGTTTTACAATACGACCATTTATACATTCGTCACTGATTATCACGGTTTGCTTGATTTCGAATGTATCTTCAATTGCCAACATGGAGAAATTATCTTTTTGTAGTTCTTTACACCCGTTTTGTCTTGAGAATTCGTCGAATGCGACTGGGTCGTTGTCGTCTGTTTCGTGAGTATGGTTCTCATTATCGTTTCTTGATTCTTCCTCGTTATTATTTTGGAGAAAATTTACATTATCTGACCGACAGATTTTCGCAAAGTGACCTCGTTTTGCGTATTTTGTGCAAATCATGTCCCGGGCTGGGCATGATTGTTGATGATTAGGTCCGAATTGTTTGCCACACTTGTATCACTGTCTTTGGGTAGTGTTGTTTTGTGGGTTTCGATTTTGGTTTCCTCTTGTGTTTTGCCTTCCACGTGGATATTTTCCTCTGTTGTTATTTGAGAAATTGGCTGAATATCCCCCCGACTGCCACTAGGTTGTGTGATGTATCCCATTGGTTTTTTTGTTGTAGACAAATTGAATCTGAATAGATTTGATTTCATAGTTTTACTGTGTTCAATGCCCTTCTCGCGTCTAATTGCGTATTTGTATTCGTAGGCCTCTTGGGGTGTCCTTTTTTCGGCTAAAAGTAACGATTTTTTCGCTGTTCATGTGCGCGGTGAACACATCAGAAACCCATTCGTCTTCTCTATCTCCACAATCTGCGCGAGATGCTAATTCTACCAGATCCGCGTGGAATTGCTCAAGTGTCTCGTTTTTTCTTTGCTTGCGACGAACAAAAAATTTTAATCTCTCGAACGCTATGACCCGTTGTGTAATAAATATGTCATCCAAGAAATATTTCAAATCTCTTGTTGTTGTGGCTTGGATGTTTAGCCCAGGTCTTTTCTGTTGAAGTTGTCGTTGTCTCCTAAGCAGAGGAATAGATAACTTCTTGCTCTAGCGTCCGCTTTGAACCAGACTACTGAATTACACATTACACCCTTTTCTCTTGCTCTTTGACATCTATTTTCCCAATCTACGTTCTTTTCTTGATTTCTGATTTCTCTGTTTTTTCGTTTTGCTTCTGTTTCTCCTTGTATTTTTACTTCTAAAACTGGTTATGGTGGTAAAGTGACTCCCAGTTTTTCACTTAACAATTTTTGGATCTCTATTCCGTCCACGATTGCAGACCATTTGTTCCATTCCAGAGGAGGCTCCGCTGATGCTTTTTTCCCAAAACGGGTTGATGCTGAGTGGTTTACCTGTGAATTCTGCTGGCTGCGCCATGTCATACCCGTAGGTATGCTCGATGTTATTATTGAGTCCGAACGGATCGGTAAACAATACTAATATTGTCTGAGCTCATGAATAAAGACTATTGAGTAGTAAAACGCTTTATTCAGGTTCTAAAATCTGTATGTCATTGGCTTCACGCTGCCACCGTTATCAATGTCAATTGACCAGTTTTAATACAGTAAGCGTATCTCAACGCAGTGAGCTTACTGTTAACAATATTATGTATATATGTATATAATACTTTGCCAATCCGGCCGGATGAGAACAGTCTTGCAAAAACTTATCAAAATTGACAAAAAATGTTGTTTGAACACCTGAAAATAATTGTTCATCGGCGCCAGAGGATCAACCGGCCAGTCGAAAACAGAAGTTGTAAATTATTATCAAAGGAGGGATCCTTGAGATAACAGGCGGTTGCCCCTGTCGACAATAAAAGCGGCAATCCTGTTTAACTGAAATTTGACCGACCAGAATATTTGTGCCAACTCTTCGTTTTGGATTTGAATAAAACACAGTAATGTGATTTGTTTTAGGGAATAGGGAACAATGCTCCTGGATTTTGCAACTTTGTGATTTTCGTGCTGCTTCAAAAAAGGGTGCGAGATGAACTCATGCGTGACCTGGCTATGAAACTGAGGTCATTTTTTCGTTTCTGTTCTTTCGCAGTAACCTACAAGGTCAATGACCCCCCGGGGGAGAATCTGATGCCAAAAGTGGCGCGTGATATGAAGTCAAGCAACAGACATGACTTGCAGCCATCTTCCTCCAGCGCCGTTAGTAAACATAACTTGTTTCGACTTCAGAACACCATGACCACCTCCTTAATCGTTCTTTTGTGGTTGACTAGATTTTTGACAGGGTTTTATACGTGCTCAAATGTTTTAAATTGATCTCCGATGTCAAAATGAGCAGTTTTAGGGTAGTTAACTTCGTTCAGTTTCGGTTGGTCGACCACGCGATCCCACCTCGAATTCAATTATATCGGCACCGACGGCTCCTTTAGAAAACTTTTGATGTTGATCAAAATTAGATATCGTAAAATTATACCAAAGACGAGACACTTTGGAAAAATTTGGCTACCAGATTTGAGAAAGAGGGTTTTCTGTGCTACTTGCAAATTAAGGAGCATATTATTGTTCGGGAATAGGCCACAAGATCCTTAACTTTCAGTACGATTATTGATGAATCCGTCAAAACAAGTAAGCCTCTATATGATGGTTTGCTGGTGAAAAAATCGGTGATGGTAATACATGTTCAGAAATTGTTGGACAGTCGACACACACGAGAAGTCGAGTTTTTCGACTCTGATGAAGATGACAATCACTATCATCACCGACTGCAACACGACAATTACGCCACAGAGGACCAATCCGAGCCGAGCGTGTACGAGTCCATTAATATACACTTAAGACGACCTTAGCCAATTGAACAGAATATTTGCCAGATCAAAAAAAAATTAGTTGCTCATTTATGATTAATATCTTATCCAATTAAATTTTCTCAAAAAGAGAGCTGTGATTTTTAAGCTAATAAGCGAAGTAAAGTTGTAATTGAAATATGTCCTGCTAAGAGCGATCGAATATTTGTTTTAATTTGTTTTAACATAATTTTAATTTCTGGTAAGTACTATCATAGCGACGCTTCGAGTGGTCACCATTAGGCAACATGGCCTGTTTTTGAGTGCGTTGGCCTAATAAAGATCGAATTATAGTTATGGATTGGAAACAAGACTGATCGTATCAGGGCGAAGCGCTGAATGTTCTGACTGATTTTTAAGGTCTATGGAGCAGTAATAACATGAAATAACTAAATATAATAATATAAAATGAACAAAACTTAAAAATTGAGATTTTTTTGTAAAAATCATCCCTCACACGCCATATAAAAAAAACTGATAGATTTCGCTCTCAGTAACCATTCAACTATGGCAAATAAACTTACTTCAGCCCATTTGGAACACTTCTCAGAACGGATTAAATATCCGCTTAAGCGTTAATAGCGCGAAATATATATTTAAAACCCCATAACTTAACGAAAAATGATCACTGGTGTGAAATATAAACTTTTTTAAATTTCAGCTCAGGAACAACAAAATCTTTCAAAATAAAACGCTATGACTTTTAAAAACTTTTCACAGGTGAAATATTTTTCCAAATTTAAGCCCAAGACAACACTACTTTCTAAATGATACTAAAAAATAAATCCGTCAAAAATGGCAAGTTAAAAAGTCTAAATTTGTCTGAAGAAAAAAAACACCCCGAGCACAAATATTCTGTTTCTTTCCTTACAGAGTTAGCAGCAATTACTTTCGTTACGATTGTTTTTCTTATCGATCGTAAGTCATGAAAATTTTGATTAATGAATGACGTGATTTTCTCGTGTCTGCATATTTTTTTATCTCAGTTAGTTTTCTTTGTTCTAACCATTTGAAAATGGGGAAAAACTTTGTATTTTGGTACTCAACCGTTTTTTTTTTTCATTTTCGGTTTTCTCTTTTTTTTCCACACAAAATCAGGTATCACATGTAGTTATCGAAAACGGTCAAGTGATAGGTTGTATGAAAGCCATTTCAGTTGTGATTAAAATGAAATTAAAATATTTTGAAACAATTTAAGCCCTAAAAACTTTAGATTGACTTGAGTAAAACTTATCTCTCAAAATTTTAGCGCAGTTTTGGGAATGAAAAAATTCAAAAATTTTTGCAAAAGTTTGGAAATAAAGGAAGTTTTTTGAAATTGTTCTTGCCACAAAAAAAAATTTTCCATTTGGCAAATTTGAGCATGATTGTCGCAATTGCCTAAATTTATTTATTTTGAGTAGATTTTTTTTCTGTCACACCACACACAAAAAATGAGACTATTTTGAAAAAAAATATATTTTTTTACACTATCGTCGGAGCATTCTGTGCTACTCGCAAAATCACCGACTGTCTCGTTTATAAAGGCATCCGTATGAGAAAACTTCTTGTCAATTAACAAGCTAAAACTATTTTTGTTAATGGGTTTTTAGAGTTTGATGCGAATGCATTGATTGATATGAAAAGATATTAGTTCTGAACTATGAACAAAATGAGTAGTTTATGTTGGAGCTGAAGGGGGGTTTGGTTTGCAGATCTTCATGATTTAAGATTTAAAAAAATTCGGTCTGAAAGCTATGTATTAAGATAGGGAAGAGATTTCCCAATGTAAAAAGAGAGGTTATAGGTTTTAGATGTTAAAATCGTTAGTTTCAGATGAAAAATTTTCAGAAAAAAAAATATAAGAAAAAAATTGTTTATGTATGAAGGTTAGCAATAAAATTTACAAGTATTAAGACATGATACAGATTTTGCATTATTTTAAAATACAATTTTTTAGTATAATAGTAAGAAAACTAAGTTTTTGGCAGATATCTTAGGTTTTTGAAAAAAAAAGTTTGAAAATCTTAAGTTTTGGCAAATTTTTTGATTGCTTCTGTCACATTTTTGAAAAATCAAGGCAAACTGAATGCTGAGTATAAGATGACACCCGAATTGTGTATTATATGGTATCTTGTTACGACAATTACCTAAACATTTTCATTAAAAAAAAAGGTTTTCCCCGTTTTTTCCTTAAAATTTGGAAACACGACATGATTTGGTCTAATTTGAGCGAGGTCGTGAAAAATAAAAGATGCTGACTGTCTAAATCAAAGCTCATACTGGCTGAAACTTTGCTGAAATACAGCCGAAACGTATCTGAAACCTTCGATTTCTTGAGAAAGTCTTAAAGTCTTAACCATAATTTTTGCAATAAAATAAGACTTTATTCAATTAATACTTGGCATTTGTTCAAACTTCTATAATTTCCACGCTTTTTTGTATGTTCAACAGGTATTTTTGTCGAACTATAATTGAATTTAGTTAACAAAATATTTTTAATTGATAAATTTTAGCAATATGTATTGAAATTTGCTGAAAGAAAAATCCTGATTCGAATCTTTCTCGGTTTTTTGTTATTGACATAAATCCATAAAATTTCTAAGAAATATCAAACTTCTTGCTAAAATGACATAAACCCTTTTTTTAAACAAGTTTTCATCATATTTATCAATCTGGCGTATGGAAAAAAAGTTTGAGGAAAATTCAGAAACAATTTTCAAAAACTACAACTAATATTTGACAAATCGATTCACTTTTGGTGGAAGAACACATTTTTCTCAAAATCTACAGGTTTTCTGCATTTTCATCTGAACCAGTTTTCAATCGATCTTGGTAATTTTTAAAAAAACGTATTAGAACGTAAATATATTTCAACTAAATCTTCTTTCATAACTGTTCATATTCTCTCTGTTATAAATCATAACTGTTCTTGATCCTAACTGTTCATATTCTCTCTTTTGTTTCTACAACACAAATTATCTTGATTTTTTCAAAGGAGTAGTAAGTTTTGAGTTAATTTCTGCTTTCTGTTTTATATAGTTTTTTGTTATTAAACTCACATGAAAGTTTAGGCAAAACTGGGGGATTTAGTATCAATTGAACGAACAGTTTGCTGATAGAGGTAATATTAGTGGCAAACCTTAAATATCTGAATCTTACTATGATATTTATGAAAGTTCAATTTTAGCAGATAAAGTTCTCCAAGTGTGTAGCTATTTTTACCGTTGTCAGTAAAAAAAAAACTTTGGCAACCAATAACTATCAATTCTATCGCAAATTATTGGTAGTCTTTTTTAATTTTGATTTAATCTGAAGTTCTCAAAATTGGAAAACTGAGAGTGAACTGGAGCCATTTACAGAATAAAATACTTTCAAAATAAAATACATCTGAACACAATATACATGTATAGGTGATTTTACGATATCTTTGGTGATTGAATTAAGAGCGAATGTAATGTTTGTTACTCAAAAATTATCTAATACGGGCCTTTCTCGGGAATTTCTTAAGAGAAATACAAGAAGAAATGCGAATAAAACCCAGTTCTGACTTTCTGATTTTTCTCTTAACTACCAAAAGAACGCTTTCTGAAATTTGATTAAAAAAAAACAATGGACAAAAAATTGCATCGCACACAAAAAGTTTTTCCCTTGGTTTTATTTATTCTAAATTTTCGAGCTTTTAAAAAAACATTTTTTTTGTAACATAACAGTCTTCTGAAAGTGCATGCAACCACCTTGTATTCTGTGACAATATTTTTGACACCTAAAGTAATTTTTTTGTATGAACATTCATTTTCTTGCTGCTATATGTACAAAAACTCCATTTCCATTACTTTAAAACGCCACAGTGCTCACGATGTCTTGATGCTTTTCAGCGAGTATAATCTCTGCCAGATTCAAGACACGCAATTGATTCAATTCTAATCAGTGAGGGCTTCCCAATAAACGAAACATATGAAAAATTGAAAGAAACCAAATAACTGTTATGTCTTGCCAGAGCAATTTTGGTGTTAAAAAAGTCAAAATGAAAAAAATCCCATTCTGTGTAGCTAAAAAAAGTGACTCATTCGAATTCGAGTTTTCACATTTTGTAGAGTTTCCAACAATTCTGATATCAACCAATCAGAATGGAGCTTTTTCAAAAAAAAAAAACTTTTTTTTAGAAACGTTCCTCTTTTTATATGGAAAATGACTATTAAAAACTCTTAACCTTCTTCGAGTTACTGTTCAAAAAAACATCCAATAGATTGGACACGACTACAAACCAAATAAGGAAAACGAATTCTGATTGTTTAAACCCACACATTTGACTTGAATGTACCACTCAATCTTAACTAAAAATCATTTTTTCTCAACTTAAATACCGAAAACTACCTCCTGTCTCAGCTCCAATTTATAATTCTTATTTTTACTCAGTCTTTTTCATCTTTCAATTTATTGCTCGAAAATAGTTTCTCAGTGGAAGACAGCAACGTTATATACTCGTTAGAAATTTTGCATAATCTAGTACGAATCCAAGTGCGAGAAACAGTCTCTGAACTTTGTTTAGCACGAATGAACATCCTAATCTAAATCTGGCAGATGATGGAAGTGGTGCAAAGGGGTTTTAACGAGCATCATATGATGCAAGTACCCATTATATAGAACCAACTTGGATCAATGCAAACAGGTGAAGCTGTGGGCTTCTCAGAAGAAATGACGCCTCAAAACACCCTACCACAACAACTCCCAGTGATGGAACCTAGGCCGCTCTGCGTTTTACATAAAGCCTCCAAAACTCAATGAAAAGTGCAGACTAAAACATACCAACTCATTGAAAAATAAATAAGATTAGAAGCTTTATCAGCAATACAATTTTTGCGGACATACAAGAAACTTGATGGTTTTTTGCTCAAATATTAGGGGAAACACTAAAAATTAGCACAAAACGAAATATACTTAGCAATTGTTTGCATTTTGTCAAAAAGTGGAAAGACTTTATGCATCTGTAGAAAAAAAATGAGAAACGTTTAGAAATTTGTATAACAAAAAAAACAATTTTCGCATCCTGTCGAAAAAACTGAAACCTTTTTCGCCTTTTTAGAACAATTTGTAATTTTTTTGCAACTGTAGACAAATTTGAATTATTTTATTTTTTGCAATTTATAGAAAGAAATGAATCACATCAAGCATCTTTTTATGCAAATGGATTTTTTTCCGCAATTTTCAAAAAAA